ATGAACTGGCTTTTTGGAGCCCATTTCCTATCGAGAGATTCTTTGCTCAGCCTAGACACGGGGGAGGGCCTTGGACCTGCCTCAATGTGGTGATGGGACAGACGTCACTGACTCCCCATAGGATTCCTTATCCTCTCTGAGGAGTGGATGGAGGAGGAAGGTGGGAGGAGGGGAAGGAGGAGGAACTTAGATTGGTATGTAATAAAAAATTATAAAAATAAAGTAAATGTGTTAATTTAAGTTATAAGAGCTAGCGGTACAAGCTGAGCTAAGGCCAAGATTTCATAATCATAAGTCTCTGTGTTGTTACTTGTGAGCTGGATGCCCAAAGAAAAATCTGACTGCAGAGGACTCATATGCCCAACATTGTGAAAACTCAAGATAAACATAGGATCTGAAACCAAGTGTTAAATTTGGCACATAAACAATTAATGCACATTCATAAAATGGAATCCACCCCCCCAGTGACTTAAAATTCTGAAACAGCTCAGCAGATCTCAAAATAATTTTAAAAGATAAGCAATGTGCCGGGCATTGGTGGCGCACACCTTTAAATCCCAGCACTCGGGAGGCAGAGGCAGGCAGATCTCTGTGAGTTCGAGGCCAGCCTAGTCTACAGAGTGAGTGCCAGGATAGGCTCCAAAGCCACACAGAGAAACCCAAAAAAAAAAAAAAAAAAAAAAAAAAAAAAAAAAAAAAAAGATAAGCAATGTTTACTGAATCCTATTTGTATCATTTCAAGTAATCTTAAGAAGCAAACAAAAACCACCCATGAGGAAGATTCTTATTATTCCCCCCTACAGATGAGGGAATTGACATTTAGCATATTGTTTATGGGCATGCAGTTAGTCCAGGGCAGGTCAAAGAGCCAGAGCCAGGAGTGTCTGTCAGGAACCCTAACTCACTTAAAAGCAGCTAGTGACACCACCGGGGAAGAGTTGCTTTTACCAGGCTGGAGAGAGAAAGACGGGTCAGCACTGAAGAGTGAACACTGCTCCTACATAGAACCTTACAAACGGGGGCTGCATTCCCAGAACCCAAGTAGACAGCTCACAACTGCCTGTAACTACAGCTCCAGAGGATGCTGAACCTCTGACCTCTGCAGGCACCTGCATATGCCCCCACACAGACATACACATGTACACACAATTAAAAAAAAAAAAAACTTAAAAAAAAAAAAGGTGTTCTTACCTTTGGTGAGTAAGACTTTACTGCAGCCTGCTCCAGCTGCAGATCTCAGAATTGTCCCCAGGTTCCCAGGGTCACGGAGATTGTCACAAATCAACACTAAGGGCAGTGAATGGTGAAGCTGAGTCTCTGGATATGTCATCTTAACAGGGTCGGGTTTGGCAAAAATCCCTGAGGAAACAACACAAGAGATCTGCTTGTCTGGAGTGGACATGAGAATGGTTTGACTTTTTTGTTTATTTATCTTTCTTATGTATTCACTATTACCTAGTGAAGACTGCAAAATTTCAAACAACAAAATTTCTGCCAGTGCTAACCCCATCCCACTCGATCTGCTTCTCAATTGTCTCTTTTCTGAACTCTAGGCACTCACCTATATATCGGCACATTTACCATACCTTTTCAACACTGACAAAAACCACTGTGGGTGTGGTGGCAAATGGCTGGAAGCAGAACTGGGAGTTTAAGGCCATCATAATCTACATAACACTGTCACACAAAAAGAACAAGGGTTTGGGATGTCCTCAGTGGTACAACACTTGCCTAGCATGCATACAGCTTTGGAGTTGATCCCTAGCACTTCTAGAAGCAACAAAAACAGGACTCCAAACCAAATGTTAAAATTGACATATAGGGGCTGGAGAGTTGGCTCAGCAGTATAGAATGCTTGCTGCTCTTGAGAACTTGAGTTCAATTCCCAGTATTCACACAGTGGCTCACAAGTCCAGTCTCAGATCTGATACTCTCTTTTGACCTCAGTAGGCCCAGGCACATACATGGTACAGATACACACATGCAGGCAAAGCACTCATACATACATTTTAAAATTAAAAACTGGCATCTATATAACCTATTATCTGTAAGCAAATTAAAAAAAAAACCCTCATTTTGTAATCTGCTCATCTTACTCAATGTATCTTTAAAAATTTTACAATGTCAATATATTTGCAGCTACTGTATTTTTCTAAATGTTGTAATATTTTGTAATATGATATGTCAAAGTTTAGCTCTTTTCATGTTGACAGTTAAAGATTTAAAATTTTCTTTATTTCAAAAAAAGTGTTACAGGGAGTATCCTCAGAGGACTCTCTCTGCAAATATCTGAAAACTTCTCTGGGACAAACTCATGTAAGTGAAATGTACAAACAGTGCACATATACTCTTAATGTTAATAAATGACACTGAACTGCCCTCCTCACAGGCTATGGTACTCTCCATATCTAGAACGATAAATATCTGCTTCCTCACTCAAAACTTGCTTAATGAAGACACAGTTACTGTCAACTTAAAATAGCATTTAATTATTTTAATTTTCATTTTCCCTGATTACCAGGGAGGTGACTCTTTTGCACTAACCTGGCTATTGTGACCCCTTTACATTAGTGTCTTTATTTATATTTTCTTTTTCCCAAACTGTCCTGATGCTATAACCTTTCTCCATTTTCCCACTGGGGTTTTGTTTTACTTAATTTGTAGCCTTAACCTAAATATTTAAACATTATCCACAGAGCTGTCTTTCATTGCATTGTCTTAAAATTATTCCCAGGAAATAAATTTATTAAAGTAATGACCCCCCCCACCCACCCCGCTTAGTAGCTTTGAAAGAAGTAATAACTCTTCTAAACAGTCCAGCCCAGAGAAGTACTGCCTAGGAGGTGTGTGCAGGGGATGCATACTGATGGAACCGTGGAGTTCTGAGGACTGAGCCATTTGTGTGGTCTCCTGCTGAGGTCAGAAGCATGGCAAGTTTAGATAGAGCAGAATCGCTTACCTAGTGACCCCTCTATCCTCACTCTAACACACAGACACAAATAGGCTGGGGGTGCTTAGAAAAATGAAAATCCTGAGTGGCTTCCTTGATGAAAAATTCTCTCATTTAATGATCTCTGCACTGTATCTGAAAGCATACATTGTTCAGGGCAGTATCTTCGGAGAGAGAAACTGGGCAAGAAGGAAGCTGAAGATGAACTTGAAGTAATTCTACAGGATGGCTTAGCAGGTAAAGATACCCACTGTCATGCCTGATGACCGGAGATGAATGTCCAGGACTCACAGAGCGGAGAAAAAAAAACTGATTTCCACAGATTGTCTTCTGACCCATGCACATAGACACAAAATAAGTAAAATGGTTTTTTGAGACAGGGTTTCACTAGGTAGCTCTGGATCTTCTGAAACTTACTCCGTGGACCTGGGCTGGTCTCAAACTCACAGAGATCCACCTGCCTCTGCCTCCCAAGTGCTTTGACTAAGGGTGTGCACCACCAAGGCCAGCCCATAAAATGTGTTTTTTAACAATCCATAAAACAAACAAACAGGCAGGAGAGATGGCTCTTCCTGTCCCAGCACCCACATGGCAGCTCACCTGTCTGTAACTCCAGGCACACACTCAGGGAAAACACCAATGTACACGAAATAAAAATAAAATTATTTGAAAACCAAACAAACAAAAAGCTGGACATGGTGTACACATGTCTGTAATCCCAGCAGGAAGGAGGTGGAAGCAGCAGCATCAGTGGTTCAAAGTTATCCTCAGCCAAACACAGAGTTTTAAGCCAGCCTGGACTAAATGAAACTATGTCAAAAATAAACAAAAAGTACCACAACAAAAACCAGAGAGAAAGCTGGTGCTGGCAATGCACGCCTTTAGTCCCAGCACTCAGGAGGCAGAGACAGGCGGATCTCTATGAGTTCAAGGCCAGCCTGGTCTACAGAGCGAGTTCCAAGACAGCCTCCAAAGCTACAGAGAAACCCTGTCTCGAAAAACAAAACAAAACAAACAAAAAAGACAACTATGAACAATAAAGTCTAGGGTAGTACACTTGTATGAAAAAGATGATTGATACACTGTAAATCACTGACCCATTATTCCTTGTGGCGTTACTAGGTCGGACCAATCTTTGATATCTTCAAATTTCACCTTAATGAGGCTGACACCTTTGAGCTTATCCACTGGCAACTCCTTGATGTATTCCAGACGGCTAAAAAAGAACACTTTCGGGACAGCTCCAGCCTTGAGAGCATCTGCAATCAGCCTGCGACCTTCCAGTAGAATCTTCCCTTGCTTTTCCCGAAAAGGCCTGGACTTAACTATTGTCATGACACTGCTGTGGGTGCAAACAGAGAATGGTGATAATTAACGTTCTTGTCATTAGGACACATGTGGTTTAACAGACACGCTGAGCTTGGCGGAGGCACGTATGTCAAAGAACTCTCTCTCTCTCTCTCTCTCTCTCTCTCTCTCTCTCTCCCTCACCCTCCTCTCCCTCTCCCTCTCTCTCTCCCTCACCCTCCTCTCCCTCTCCCTCTCTCTCTCCCTCACCCTCCTCTCCCTCTCCCTCTCTCTTGCTCTTTTGCACAGCAGAAACTTAAGAGCCAGAGGTTCCGCTGTGGGTCAGGAAGAGAAACGAGAATAGTCAACAAGCCTCAAGAACACATCACCTTAGCCTCCTGTCCCCGGGAAAGGCCTTATCATAGCGAAGCCCTGTTTCTTCCCAGGTGTGAGGTGTCTGGGATGGGGATGTCTCAAGAGCGTGTTTATGTCGCTGCTGCTGAGAACTGGCCTCAGGGACCGCCTTGCGAGGCTGCTGGACAGGAGCACGCTTCCGTTCCTCCACTTGTCCGGAGGGAAACACCACTCTCACCGGGCTGCGCCGTAGCGCCCGGACCCAGCGCCGCGCGCCGAGGTCCCGAGTCTGGATCACCCTCAGCAACGGTATCAGAGAAGAACTCAGAGCCCTCGCTGGAGCGGCCATCTTTGCTATACTGCGCGCTACCTCACTCGAGCGCGCCGTCGAATCGTAGTGACGTCACGCGGCGTTCTTCCTGGGTTTGCGGGAGGAGTGGCCCTCTGCTTGTGATTCCGTCTTTGCGGTGGGAGTCATGGCCACTCGTCGAGCTCTGCACTTCGTCTTCAAAGTGGGGAACCGCTTCCAGACGGTGCATTTCTTTCGAGATGTCCTGGGGATGCAGGTGCAGACCGGGGCCGAGCGGGGCTGGCGCGAGCCGCACCTGGGAGGGAGGACGCGATACGCGTGCAGCCACTTCAGCCGCCAGGCCCAAGACTCCGGGTCGGCACGGCGGGTTTTCAACTTTTGCAACCCCCGCTCCCGTTTTCGGGTTGGGAAGCCTTTGAAAGGGCACCGACCTACCAGCTGTGTTGTCGACGCACGTTCCGTCGCCTACAGACCTTCACAAATATTTGTTGCATCCCTGGATTGGGGAGCTTGTAGGAGCATTGTCAGGCAAAACATTATAAAATCCCTTCCACTTCACGACAGAGCGGTCTCTTCTAATTCGAAACGTTTGGGTATGATCAGCAATTAAATTCAAAGTTCGGCTTCCGTCAGGGCTGGGGATTTAAAGTTTAGGTTCTGGGAATGGAACCCGTGGTCTTGTGCATGCTAAGTAAGCACTCCACTATTCTATAGCACTGCATGAACACCCCCTGTCAGGGCAAGAACGAATGGTCTCTTTCTTAGTTACTCAGGCTCTCTCTGTAAATCTCTGGCCCTCCTCTGGAGAGCCCAGATTAAGTATGAGGTCAGAATCTAGTCTCCTTCCTAGTACCTAGAAACAGTCTGAGACGCTGCAATTCTAAAGGGGTCACTTAGCTGAAAATGTAGTGGAGGAGCTCTTCTTGAGTCAGGGAAATAGGGAACACACCAGTGCAGAATACTTTGTAGCAACGAGAATCCAGCTTAGTGTACAGATGGTACAGAAGGTAAGGAGTGCAAAGGGAGTTACACAAATTAATCAGACCACACAAATTAATCATAGAAATATCTGCTGTGGCCCGGCATTGGTGGTGCACACTTTTAATCCCGGCACTTGGGAGGCAGAGGCAGGCAGATCTCTGTGAGTTTGAGGCCAGCCTGGTCTACAAGAGATAGTTCCAGGACAACCTCCAAAGCAATACAGAGAAACCTTGTCTGGGAAAGGAAGGAAGGAAGGAAGGAAGGAAGGAAGGAAGGAAGGAAGGAAGGAAGGAAGAAAGGAAGGAAAAGAAAAAAGAAATATCCACTGTGTAGGGGGCTGGAGAGATGGCTCAGCCTTTAAGAGTGATTACTGTTCTCCCAACACCAATGTTAGATAGCACACAATCATCTGTAAATCCAGCTCCAAGGGATCTGACATGTGGCAGGCAGGCAGACAGACAGACAGACACACCCACCCCTACCTGATTTTCAGAGTACCATGTTAAGGTTTGTCAACTAAGGTACAAGTGACTTTGGTAGTTGTTCCCATTTAGAGCAATGATGTGGGAAATCAGATTTGACTAACAGTCATGGGAGTCAGAGTTTAGTGATACTAGATGTCATTATTCTGTTTCTTCATTGATCAAAGGTTGTATGAGGATTAAACATGTTATTGTATAGGTGGTACTTGACTCATAGATAGTTGTGTTCTCTAAAGTAGTAGCTATCATTATGCTAAAAGTACAAAAGGAAAGATTTGCCAACCTGGGTTATCAGGAAAATAATTAATGGGGACCTTGTATTCAAGCTGACCTTGGAAAGTAAGGTTTCCACTTACCAAGGTTAGAGGGAAGTTACCAAGAAGACCTGGATAGGTGATGTGGAAATCACCTAATCATTTGGGAAATGGCACTCATTTTATGTGCATTTAGCTAGATGAAGAGATGAGATATGAGAACACATAGGTTGGGATTGTTTCTAGTATTGTCTTGAATGCTATTCATGCAAAGCAGTTTGAGTTTTATGCTGAAGTAAGGGGGAGCTTGTGATGCCATCAGAGCTGTGCTTTAGTGATATATTTTTATGTTAGTATTAAGGAAAGAAACCAATAAGTTTTGTGGGTTTTCTTTGGGGGGGGTAGTAAATAGCTCAGGTTGCCCTTGAACCTGATATGTTTCTGCCTCAGTACCTCCAGAGTGCTGGAATTACAGGTGTGCCACCATGCCCAGATAATAAAGTTGATTTTTGTCATCTTTGAGGGAAGTAATGGAACTTTAACAGGAGCAGTAGGAATACAAAATGAAAATCAGCTGAGTGTGGTGGCCCATTCCTGCAGTCCCAGCAGTTGGGAAGCTCAAGGCCAGCCTAGACTATACAGTAAGTCTGAAGCCACATTGTGCTACATAGTGACACAGTGTCTTGGAGAGAAAATCAGGTGGAGAGCAGAAACTAAGACACTGAGAACCTTCTGTATTCTAGGTTCTGCCTTAGCCTTAGGTGCTTAAACACGTAATTCACCAACATAGTTATTCTCATACTCAGTCTGAGACTGAGAACCTAAAACAGCTTGCTCAGCATTACACACTGCAGTCAGACTTCTCTAGTGTTGAACACACTTTTGTACCACAGTGGCTTCCTACCCCATGGAGATTTCATACCTGTTTGAGAATACGACTCTTTTTTTTGGAGAGAGGGTAGCAGCAGGATCTCACAGTGTATCCTTGGCTGTCCTGGAATTCACCCTGTAGACCAGGCTGGCCTTGAACTCACAGAGTGCTTGTGCCTCTTGAGGGCTGGGATTAAAGACATGTGCCACCATGCCCATCTTAAGATGTCCTTTTTAACTCTGCTACATCTAGCCTGGAAGTTCTGTTTGTTTCTCTTAGTAAAGCTGGCAAAGGATAATGTTTGTGTTCTGTCCTTTTAGTTTGTATAAATGTGCCATGTGTAGGTGGATCTCTGTGAGTTCAAGGCTAGCCTAGTCTACAGAGCAAGTTCCAGGACAGGCTCCAAGCTACACAGAGAAACCCTATCTAAAAATAAATAAATAAATAAATAAGGGTGCCATGTACAATACTAGTACACCTGAAATCCCAGTGTGTGGATACCTGAAGCAGGAGGATTATAATTTGAGACCAACTGGACTATACAGTGAGACTCGGTCTTTAAAGTTCAAGGGCTAGGAGTGTTGCTTAGCTGTGGAGCACTTGTCTAACACAAGCCCTTGGATTTCCTAGAACTCTAAAAGGGTAAAATTTTACAATTTAGTCTACTTTCTTTATTAGGTTCTACGCCATGAGGAATTTGAAGAAGGCTGCAAAGCTGCATGTAATGGGTATGGTATCTTGTGTCTTAAAATCTTAGGTTCTGAATAGCTCCCAAGTAGAACACAGGTTCTCAAAGTTGAGTATGAGACAGTGGGGTAAATAATGAAATAAATAATTAAATTTTAAAAGAAAGCAAGAAATAAGAGAAGCTACCCAAACAGCAATGGGGATTCACCCTTTGTTTCTCAGCATGTCACACAACACTTAGGTACAGCAAGCAGTTCTCCAGTACTCCAGATTCCAGCCAGTTGTCTGACTGTTTAACTCAATTCCTTGCCTCTCTGGAGGTATATGAGACTAGCTACAAATTGTAGTAGCCCCCCTCCTGACCTCAGGGTTACACTACCTACATTTACTGGCTTCTTATAAAGGATGCAAATCAGGAAGAGCAGGCAGAAGAGCCGTATGCAGGAAGGCCTGCAAGAGAAGAGGGATGGCACTTCCAATTGCTTCCATGATCCCAGTACCTCTGTGGCATCAACAGCCCACGAACTTATCAAATCTTGTTGAATAGATTTTATACAGATTGGTAGTGTTTACGCTCTACCTCTCCCCTTCTCAAAGGTGCGTGTGGCTGAACATTCTAATCTTTAGGTCTTTTTGGCAGCCAGGCAAATCCTCTGGCTATCCAGCCTCACCTTCAGTCTGCTCATTATGGTAAACCCAGGCATTCCAGAGGAGCTCAGGAATACAAGGCCTACTTGTCAGGGAATCCCAAGGCTTAAGGAGCTCTATGCCAGGAGTCTTAACAGAGACAGATATTTTTCTTTTCTTTTTTTTAGATTTATTTATTTATTATGTATACAGTGTTATGCCTACATGTATGCCTGTGGCCAGAAAAGGGCACCAGGTCTCATTAGGGATGGTTGTGAGCCACCATGTGGTTTCTGGGAATTGAACTCAGGACCTCTGGAAGAGCATTCAGTGCTCTTAACCTCTGAACCACCTCTCCAGCCCCGACAGATATTTTTTCATATTTTACTATAGCACAAATAAGTATAAGCGGTGGGTAAAGCGACGGCTAAGGGTCTCCTGAGCTTAGTATTCATGGCAAGTTGAAAACTTCCAAGGTCGGTTGGGATTTACATGCTTATGATATGCAAAGAAATTGTCTGAGGTTAGACTAGAGCTGCCTTTAGGATTCCCTGCCTATATATTTTTTAAAGGTAATTAATCTTTGCCTTGAGTAAATGCCTAATGGATGGTGTGTGGACTGTATGGTTGTGGTGCTTGAGCACTGTCCACAGCTGCTGTTAGCACCTTCAGAGGTCATCTCATCCTTGTTTAGAATTTAGGGGACCCAAAGGGACTGGCTGCCTCTCTGTGTCCAAAAGTAGGAAGCATATTTTTCCTGTGGTCACTGGGTTCATTTACTTTCTTTTTATTTTTTAGGCCTTATGATGGGAAATGGAGTAAAACAATGGTGGGATTTGGGCCTGAGGATGATCATTTTGTTGCAGAACTGACGTACAATTATGGCATTGGAGACTACAAGCTTGGCAACGACTTCATGGTAAATATCACTCTGTCCCAGTGCATATCTGGATGAGGCAGAGACTGTTATAACAGTCCAGGTTAGAAACAAAGTTGGCTTAAAAAAAAAAAAAAAAATGAACGTCAGGCAGCTTACAACCGCCTGTAACTCTAGTTCCTGGGGGGATGGGAAATCCTTAGCCTCCACTGGTACCTGTATTTGTATGCACAATTATACAAACAGACACACACATCTATAATGTAATTAAAACTAATAAAAATAATCTTTAAAAAGGGGAAGTGGCCAGGTGGGGTGGTGCATTCCTTTCCATCACTCAGGAGGCAGAGACAGGTGGATTTCTGTGTTTGAGGCCAGTCTGGTCTACAAAGCGAGTTCCAGGACAGGCTTCAAAGCTACAAAGAAACCCTGTCTCTAAAAACCAAAAAAAGAAAAAAAAAAGTGGAAGTGTTTTGCCTGTTTGTATGTGTACCTTGTGTATGCACTATCTGAAGAGGTCAGGAGAGGGTGTTGGATCCACTTGCACTGGAGTTAGGGATGGTTGTGAGCTGCCAACTGGATGCTAGGAACTGAACCCTGGTCCTCTGGAAGAGCAACCAGTACTCTTAACTGCTGAGCCATCTCTCCAGACCTAGTTGACTTTTTAAATTTGAAGCTGAAAAGGTTATTAGTGAGGAGATGAAATGGAGCAGGAGTTCAGAGGAGGATGGAGTAAGGTCTGTGGAGAGAGGATTCTAAGTGGAGAGAAGATCCTGTTCAGAGGCCTCAAACAACACCTGGCTTGAATAGAGAGGCAATAAATAGCTGGAATAGAGAGGCTGAGGGGAAGGTGGTAGGAGTTGGTTAAGAAATGACATGATAGCTGGGAATGATGGCACATGACTATAATCGTAGCACTCAGAAGACTTAGACAGGAGGATTATGGGGTCTTGAGGCCAACCAGGGCTACATAGTTAAGACCCTGCCTCAAAGGGGGCAAAAGTGTATAATGCTGGGTCTTTTAAGGACCATCAAGGGAAGACAAAGTGTGTAGGCTGCTTGAGAACTTTGACTAAAGTTCCTTCGTAGTTAAAGGGTTTATGTTTCAAATCCAAAATTGGGCTGTTGATACAAAGTGGTAGAGCACTCACCTAGAATAAACAAAGCTCCAGGTTCTTGGTCAGCCTCATAAGTGAATAACTAATTCGAAGTTGTCTCAAATGGTTAGCTGGCCAGTCCAGGAAGATCAAGATTTTTTCTGCTTAGGTCTTGAAAACTGACGAGATTGTCTTTGGTTTTAAATGGATCACATAATGATGACATTTGGATTTGTTTGCTGTGATTTATGAATGTCTGAATCTGAAGAAATTGGAAAAACAATCTAAAATCCTCTTTAAAATTACTGTAAGAAAATGTCTATTAAATTTTAGTTGGTTTTGGTTTTGGGGTTTTGGTTCCTTATCTTGTCCTGTGAGAGCTCTGTTGTAATGATATATGTGGGTGTTATTTGACACAGGGAATCACACTTGCTTCCAGCCAGGCTATCAGCAATGCCAGGAAGCTGGAGTGGCCACTCAAAAAAGTTGCAGAAGGAGTTTTTGAAACTGAGGCCCCGGGAGGATACAAGTTCTATTTACAAGATCAAAGTCTACCTCAGTCAGGTAATTATGCTAGGCCAGGCAAAAGCCTGGATAAGGGCACATTTGATGAAGAAAGAAAAGGAAAATTGCTTTACAGAGCTGGAGCTGCCACTGAGTGATAGAGTACTTGCCTAATGTGCAAGGGCCTGGGTTCAACCTCTGGCACCAGTGGTGGGGTTGAGGATCAGAAAATCAACTTAAAATATGACATGCTTCCATTATATGCTAGGTGCTTGGTGGTTTTTGTTTTTATTTTTTAAATTACATTTGTGTGTGACGAGGGACAATAAGGAAGAAGGGAGGAAAAAGTAATACCCACATGTCCAAAGATAGCTACTGTGAACATTGTAGAGTAAGGTCTTTTATCAAAAACAATAAATACATATGTATATATATGTTCCCTGCATAAGCCATTGCAGAAATTCCATGGCAGTATTTCATTACTGAAAATAAGCAGCCTCTGTTATTGGGTGTTTTGTTGTTCCTAGTGTTTCATTGTTCTGGGCAACACTGTTGAATGCCTTTGTGATAAAAAGCCCTTCACACAGCCACACAACTTTCTGAGTTGCTAAAAAACGGACTTGCTTTTTCAGTACATTTTTAAAACTTTTGGTACATTCTGTCAAATCCTTTCCCACAAATTTTCTAATTTACACTCTCTCAGTGTTTTTCATTTTAATTCCCTTGCCTGCAATAAAACAGTTAACATTACTATTTTGTCAAGACAATAAAATTAAATAATGAAAAACAAATTATTTGTGTTTCCTTAGTTTATTCTTTAAATTTAATCCTTTTACCCAACAGAAATGCATATTGCTATTTAATTCAAACATGTAACTTATCCCCACCGAATGATTATCTTACTGTCATTTATTTGGATCATGTTTTTTTTTTTTTTTTTTTTTTTTTTTTTTTTTTTTTTTTGAGACTGTCCTGGAACTCGATCTCACAGAGATCCGCCTGTCTCTGCCTCCTGAGTGCTGGGACTAAAGGCGTGTGCCACCACCGCCTGGTGGATCATGTTTCTTTTCATATTGATTTAAACTAAATAAACATTTCTTTAGCTAAGAAGAGACTTTCTGGATATCAAATGGAAAGCCTTTTATGCTAGGCACACACTCCCCTCCAGCCTCCTAAGCTAAATTCTTACATATACTTTAGCCTGTTTGGGCCTTTTTATCCCGTTCCACTGAAGTGACCTCATTCATCTGTTTTCTTACCTTACAGATCCTGTATTAAAAGTAACTCTAGCAGTGACTGATATCCAGAAGTCCTTGAACTACTGGTCTAATCTCCTGGGAATGAACATTTATGAGCAGGATGAGGAGAAGCAGAGGGCTGTGCTGGGCTACGCTGATAACCAGGTGAGTGACCTCGAAGAGGAACAGCTTGTCTGCTGCTTTGAGTTTGGTTCATCAATCAGGTTAACATGACAGTGGCCCCAGGGTTCTTCACAGTGAATCAGCGTTTATCCAAATGAATAGAAGAAAACAAAACCCACTAATAACTTTTTACCCCTCAGATACTGCCTCAGTTTTTGTTCATGGTAGCTGACCTGTAAGCTTTGGAGTTTTTCCTGTCTCAATCACATACCAGTGCTACCACATCCAGCTTTCTGTGGGTGCCAGGGTCTGGACTGAGGTCTTCACACTTGCATGGCAAGTGCCTTCCCAAGCATGGTAGAGCTTTTATACTACACACACGTGTAACCTGTCAGAAAGTATCAACCCACTTTCTTATTTCTCCTCAGTGTAAACTGGAACTACAGGGCATCAAAGGTGCAATTGATCATGCAGCAGCCTTTGGAAGAATTGCTTTTTCTTGTCCTCAGAAAGAGGTACTATTTGATAACCTAATTGTATCTTTTAAAACATTAATAAATTTTTAATTATGTATATGCGTGTGTGTCTGTGTGCATGTGAGTACAGGTGTGTCTGGTGATTGTCAGATTCCCCAGACTTGGACTTATAGGAAGTTGTGAGCCCTTGAAGGGGATGTGAGGAGCCAAACTCCATAGAGCCATTCCTCTGACTCCTTTTTTTTTTCCTTTTAGTGTGTGTGTGTCTGTGTGTGTGTGTGTGTGTGTGTGTGTGTGCACGCGCATGAATGCAGGTGCCCACATTGGATTCCCACTGGAGCTGGAGTTACCAGAGTTTATGAAGCCCCTGACATTGTTGCTGGGAACTGAACTTGGGTCCCCTTCAAGAATAATACTCAGCCGGCCTGTGGTGGCACACGCCTTTAATCTCAGTACTTGGGAGGCAGAGGCAGGCGGATCTTTGTGAGTTGAGGCCAGCCTGGACTACAGAGTGAGTTCCAGGACAGCCAAGGCTGTTACACAAAGAGACCCTGCTTGGGGAAAAAAAAAAAAGAGTAGTACTCGCTCTTAGTTGTTGAGCCATCTCTCCAGCCCCTGGCCAGATTGTTTAAGCTCTTTCAGTATCTGGTTTCAACCCAGCTGAGAACCTATCTTGAGTTCATTTCTGATTGTGGCTTTGTTGTCATGCATAACCATTCTTTTTTTTTTTTTTCCTCCATTTTTTTATTTGAATTAGAAACAAGATTGTTTTACATGTCAATCCCAGTTCCCTCTCCCTCACCCCCCCCCACACACCTATCCCATACCATTTCTGCTCCCCAGGGAGAGTGAGGTCTTCCATGGGGGTACCATTCTTTTAAGAATCACTGAGATAATAAAATATGTCCAGTGGTGCCATGGTCAAATGAGGACCATATCATAGAAGTGGTATGTGACCCTTGCTCACTTGCTTTTTTGTATTTTTCAAGTTGCCAGATTTAGAAGATTTGATGAAAAAGGAGAGCCAATCGATCCTGACACCACTGGTTAGTCTGGATACCCCAGGGAAGGCGACAGTGCAAGTAGTCATCCTGGCTGACCCTGTAAGTATCACTTAACAAGGGATAGGGTGTCCTGGAATTTCTTCAAAGATTTTTTTTTTTTTTTTTTTTTTTTTTTTTTTTTTTTTTTTTTTAAAATTTTTTTTTTTTTTTTTTTTTTTTTTTTTTTACATTGCTTTTCTCTTTTGATACAGGATGGACATGAAATTTGCTTTGTTGGGGATGAAGCTTTCCGAGAACTTTCTAAGAGGGATCCAAAAGGCAGCAAGTTACTGGATGATGTGAGTCTTGATTCTACATCGATGTCATCATAGGCCAAAGCAGGATAGTATAAAGGGTGTACAGGGTCCAGGTGCTGACAAGCATGTCCTTTCCCTGTTTCGATGACTTCTAATGAGAGACCAATGTCTTCAGTGTCACTTACCTTGCCCCTTGTAGGACTTAGCATTTCCATCTTCCCACTGCCTCAGGAAGAAATCCACTACTGCTGTGAACACCATTACTCAGCTCAGTGGATGAAAGTCCCTGGGTTCCATCCCCCTTGGTTTCCTTGGCCATTTGGTTATCTGGTTTCCATTTGACATCATACTCTTTCTCTTGCTTCCTACTTGTTCTCATTGTCACACCAAGAAATCCAGTAGCTCTCATATTTTAAGAACTTTTCTAGGGAGGCAGAGGCAGGCTCAGGAGGCAGAGGTAGGGAATCTCTGAATTCAAGGCCAGCTTGTCTACATAGCAAGTTCCAAGAAAAGCAGTGGCTGGAGACATGGGTTAGTAGTTAAGAGAACGTACTGCTCTTAGAGGTGACACAGGTTCAGTTCCCAGCACCCACGTGGTGGCTCACAACTGCTTATGACTTCAGTTCCAAGGGATCTGACATCCTCTTGTGACCTCCAAGAACTCCTGCATGCACATGATGAACATATATAACACTCAGGCACACAAATACATAATCAAGTAAAAAGCAAAACTCCCAAAGCAAACCCTTTCAATGCCATAGTCCATCTCCAGGTGTTTGTTTGTTTCTCTGTTTTTGAGAAGTAAATCTGTGTCTCCAAACTGACTACAAACCAGTGGTCCTCCTGCCTCAGCCTCCCAAGTTTTAGGACTGTATCACCAGGTTTCTTTTATTAGATTTCTGTTTCAAAGATCTGTCTACACATAGTTTCTACTTCTTGTCTGCAGTGCATACTTCATCTGTTCTGCTTTGGATCTTGGCACCAAATAGTGCTCATGTTGACATTGTTGGTGATCTCATCTAGCCAAATGCGGCAGCTTCTGTTCCCATCAAACCTGGTGTTTCATCAGGGAAACAGTAGCCCATTGTTGTTCTCCAACTTCTAACATAGATCTAGTGTGAAGTAGACGTTCTCTGAATACTTTGGACTTTTGAGACAGGGACTCTGTTGTCCTGGTTGCCCTTGAGTTCCTGGGCTCAAGGGGCCTTCCAGCTTCATCTTCCATGTAGATAGGACTGTAGGGCTGACCACTGGGCCTCACTCACTTCTGAATACCTAATTCAGTGATTGAGTGATTAAAGGAATCAATTGATCCAGTTCTATTGTTTTTAAAACTATATAACTAGCCTTTAAACAACTTATTATAATTCTCTGGACTTCTAAAGTTCCTTTAGAAATTTATCTTAAAAAGGTGAGATAAAGAAAATAAAAATACTCATTTCTTAGGACTATAGTGTGCTTTGTGGATGATAATTAACCATAGACATAACAACAGTCATGGTGAATTAAAATAGGACATATGCAGAAGATTCCTATCCTCTTGAAGCTTTATCATGAAGGAAAATGGAATGTTGAGGGAGCTCTCATGCTGTTCTTCCCTTCCTTGCTCTTCCATGCACTGGCAGCTCCCCCTCTTCTGAGCTCTTCTGTGGAACTGAGATCCTGCCTTCTTCATATCTCCCTGACGCTTCTCCCAGAGGCAACTGCTGTTCTGATTTATGGCACAGCAGATCAGTTTTGCTTATTCTTGGATTTCAAACAAATGAATCTATTTACTAGGTATTTCTCTATGCTTGGTTTCTTTCTCTCAAAATAACATTTTGAGATTTGACCATGTAATTGTATGTATCATCTTTTGTATGCTTTTATTAGATAACAACTTGTTTATCCATTCCCATGGTAGCAAACATTTAAGTTATTTATAGATTTTTAGTTCTTAAGGAAGAGTGAGTGCTGTGAGCATTCTTGCTTAAATCTTCTTGCAGCTATGTTTCATGTTTCTAAGGTCAGTATCTAGGAGAATTGCTTTTACTGTACAGGGAAGTGCCAGACAGCTGACAAGAGTAATTACACCAAAGTGAATCTCTTAGCCAGTGTCTCTTTTCATAGTTGGTTATATGTGCAGTCAACCATGTCTGAACGTATTAAATGCAGACTTCAGAAATGAGTAACCATGCAGTTTAGATTATACCTTGCTTTGAGTGACATGATGAAATCTCTTGTTCTCCTGCTTTGTCTACTTGGGACAGGAATCATCTCTTTGGGCAGTGTATCCACACTGTGTGTACAACTGAACCTACACACCCCCTTGTCATCTAGCTTGGTGACAGGATCTCAGTGCTTGGGTTCAAAACCTTTATTTTACATAATAATGGCTCCAAATGACAAAAATAGCAGTTTGGCTATGACAAAGAATAGCTGTGGGCTGGTAAGATGGCTCAATGGATTAAGGGACTTGCTGCCAAGCCTGACAAAACCTGAGTTTTAATCCCTGGGACCCACATAATGGAAGGAGAGAATGGACTACAAATTGTCCTCAAATCTACCCCTGCACTGTGGCATGTGTGTACCTACACCTACACACATTCAATAAGTAAATTTAATTGAAAACAGGGGGAAAGCCGGGCGTTGGTGGTGCACACCTTTAATCCCAGCACTCGGGAGGCAGAGGTAGGCGGATCTCTCTGAGTTCAAGACCAGCCTGGTCTACAAGAGCTAGTTCCAGGACAGCCTCCAAAGCCACAGAGAAACCTTGTCTTAAAAAACCAAAGGAAAAAAAAAAGAAAAGAAAAGAAACCAGGGGAGCCACAAAAGTGTATCTTTTAGGTGAAAAGGTGAAAGTTCTTGGCTTAATATACCAAAGAAACTGGTTAAGGGGACTAGAGTATAGAGTATAGTCACATTACTCTAGATAGCTTTTTCTATTTTCTTTTACTTCTACTTCTTTCCTTCCTTTCTTCATTCCTTTTTTTTTTTTTTCTCCCTCTGTGTAGTCCTAGATGTCCTAGAACTTGCTTTGTAGATCAGGCTGGCCTTGAACTCAGAGAGATATGCCTGCCTCTGCCTCTGCCTCCCAAGTTCTGGGATTAAAGATGTGTGCCACCACCTCCTGGAAGGGAGTTTTTTAATATTGCTTCAAGGTTTAAGTTCCTTATATTTTATCCAAATAATAAATTGGATAGGCCTAAAATTGATTATTACTTATTTAAGCAGGGATTTAGGGAGTAACCTAGGCTATTCTGGAACTGGCAATTTTCCTATTCCTCCCCTTGAGTGCTGGTATTGCAGGTGTTCACCACCAGGCTGGCTAGGTCTAAGGTTTCATATAAATGAAACATAGCCATGTCTTGTCCCATTTCTGAAGCCCACTACCAAGGGCAGTCACCTTCGGCTTCACTATTGCTAAACCAAATACATTTATTTTATATTTTTTCTGTTATGTTTCCTAATGTAAACATTATCTTGTCGTTTCCTCCTGGTGTAGACAACTATTTCTGACACACTATTTCTCCAACCATTTAGTTGTTCCTTACCTTTTAATCTGATAGGACCTTATAAGTCTTTTACAGTAAATACCTCAAAGCACAAATACTTTCTTTTGAAAAGTAACTTTCTTTCCATCACTGTTCAGTGTAATCCCCAAAGCTAGATTGTCACTCCAGTCATGCCTGGACTCAGTATAGATCTAGTGCATGATAAAATCTCAATTAAAAAAAAAAGATTTATTTTTATTACCATTTCTCTCTCTCTCTCTCTCTCTCTCTGTGTGTGTGTGTGTGTGTGTGTGTGTGTGTGTATCGAGTGCTCAAGTGTATGAGAGTGTATGAGAGAGTATATAGCACGTGTGTGTGCAGGTGCCCTGTGGTACAGGAGACAGTGGTAGTTCCCCTGGAGTTAGAGTTACAAGTGGCTGGGAGCCACTTGACATGGATTCGAAGACCTGAACTCAGGCCCTCTGCAAGAGCAGTACATATGCTTAAGTGCTGAGTCATCGATCCAGCCCCCAAAACTCACTTTAAAAAAAAGTATTACCATATTTGCTTTTTTGTTTGTTTCTCTGTGTAGCAGCTCTGGTATCTTGGAACTCAATATGTAGACTAGGCTGGCCTTAAACTCACAGAGATCCACTTGTCTCTGCCTCCTGAGTACTGGGATTAAAGGTATGGGCAACCACTACCTGGCCCATACTTGCTTTTGGACTAAATTTTTTTACCAAACAGCTAAATGAATTATAGAGGCAAACTTTTCATTTTTCCAAGACAGGGTGTGGTGATAATTTATTTGTGCTCTAACAAATAAAGCTTGCCTGAAGATCAGAGGGTGGAGCTAGCCATTCCCTGCACTTGGGATCGAATGCCTTGAATCCCAGCACTAGGGAGGTGGAGAGAGGAATATAAGGTGGGAGGAGACAGGAGCTCAGCCCCTTTTGGTCTGAGATTTCCTGGAGGTAAGAACTCTAGTGGCTGGCTGCTCTGCTTCTCTGATCTTTCAGCTTTCACCCCTTAATATCTGACTCCGGGTCTTTTTTATTGAGATTAGTTAGAATTTGAGTTATGACAGGGTTTCCCTGTGTAGCCCTGTCTGTCTTGGAACTCTATCTATAGACCAGGCTGGCCTTGAACTCAGAAATCCTCCTGCCTCTGTTTCCCAAGTGCTGGGATTAAAGGTGAGCTCCACCATGCCTGGCTGTGGCAAATACTTTTTGGTGGTAGTACTGGGGCTTGAATTGGAGGTACTCCAAGTACTCCACCACTGAGCTGTATTCATTTAGACTTGGTTTCAGACCAAGCTCATAAGCATTGGGGATTCCTGTTGTTCCCAGGGCCCATAGTCACACACCCAATCCCTGCTCTCTCATCAACTGCCAGTCCTTATTGCCAGCTGCATGTGAGAATCAGCAAGTAACTGCTTGGTGCTCACCGGCTCTCCTGTTACAGTGAGCAACATTCTCAGCACAGGTAAACTCACTTTAGTGCTATTATCACGGTGGAGAATGCAGACTTGGAGTAATATCTGCCCATTTGTCTCCATAGGCAATGGCAGCAGACAAAAGTGATGAGTGGTTTGCCACCAGAAATAAACCAAAGGCTTCGGGTTAATGGATGACATGTGAGAACAGCACCTACGACTCCAGGTGATAAATACTCCCACCACTTGGTGGTGGCCAGCATGGACAACATGGAGACTTATGTGGTAGTTTCACTCTTCAAAGCTCTGTTGTTTTAGAAGTGAAATACTTTTACCACTCTTGGTAGATGTGAACTCCTGTGTGTAATTGTATTAAATTTGGTAACAAATTATTGTGTCCAGACTGGAATTGGCTGGGGATGGAGGGAAATTTGATTAGCTGTGAATCATGTAGATAATATTAGAACAGATGTTCAAATGAAGCCAAACCAGCTGGGCATGGTGGCACATGCCATTAGTTTCAGCACTTGGGAGGCAGAGACCAGAGGATCTCTGTAAGTTCAAGACCAGTCAGGACTAAAGAGACACACTGTCTCAAACAACACAAATCAAAAGAAGTCAAACCAACTGCTTAGAGAGCTCAGGTCCTAATGAATCATACTATAGAAGCCTTGACATTTAAAGAAACTGTTTCCTCTGGTTTTCTGGGACAGTCTTGTTTGATAGCACAGAGTGGTATGTTACTTGACTGTAGAACTCAAGGAAGCTTTTAACTTTCTTTTTTCCTGGAGACCGAGTGTCACTTTGTAGCCCTGGCAGGCCTGGAACTATGTCAACTAGATTGGCCTCAAGCTCACAGAGACCCACCTGCCTCTGCCTCCTGCTGGGATCAAAGACACAGGCCGCCTTTCCCAGTGGCTTTGCATTTTTGATCTTCCTACTTCAGCCTCTAGTCCTGGGATTATAGATGTGTGCCATTATTCCAGGCTTGATGTTTTTTTGTTTTGTTTTGCTTGAAGTTTTATCCTGGCACTGAAGAGATGGTTCAGTGGTTAAGAGCACTGGTTGCTCTACAAGAGGACCTGAGTTTGATCCCAGCATCCACATGGTTGCTCTGTCTGGAATTCTAGTCCCAGAGGATCCAACACTCTCTTAATGCCTCTGAAGGCACCAAATATACGTAGTACACAGACGTATGCAGGCAAAACACCCATAAAGATTAAGAAAAATTATCCCTTGGATAAAAAAGATCTGGATAATGCCCTCACCTTGATTTTACATTTTGAATACCCAGAGAAAACAGGAAATTTTCGTTAGTATTCAGGCATCTGTACTGGCCTGCCCTTGGGTTTCTGACAAGATACACCCTCAGCTGCAGCCAATAAGAGCACCACCTATGCACATTCATCTCTCCTTCCCTTTCCCTCTCCCTCTCACCTTTCTCTCTGCTTCTGCCTGTCTGCTGTCTGTCGCCCCCACACACACCACCATTTTCTGTTCTGCTGCTCCCATCCTCAGAAGTTGGTTCCTCCCTCCCCCCTTTTCCCATTCCCTTTCTCCTAATTAAAAACAAAACAAAAAAACTTCATGTGAGCTGTCACATGGCATTTTTTTCTCTGGTGCCACTTTGTTTTTTAATTACAAGTGTTTAGTGAACAAAATATTCAGTGAGTCACATTTCTGTGCCTGATTCTGCACTACTTTTTTATAAAGTGGTTTTAGTCTTTAAAATGGATTAATTTATTTCTTCAGCCTGAAAAAATATTTTATTGTGATTTTCTGTTTGGTTGATGCAGGCAGGTGGTTTCAGTCATTAAAAAGTTTTATTGAATGCATTTTTTATTAAAGCTCTTTGGAAAGGATGGAAAAGAGTACTATTTAAAAATTTGTAGACTTGGGCTGGAGAGATGTCTCAGTGGTTAAGAACACTAGGTGGCCTTCCAGAGATCCTGAGTTCAATTCCCAGCAACCACATGATGGCTCACAACCATCTGTAATGAGATATGGTGCCCTCTTCTGGACTACAGTGACACATGCAGACAGAACACTATATATAATAAATAAATCTTTAAAAAAAAATTGACTCTTCTTGGTGGTGCACACCTTTAATCTCAGCACTTGGTAGGCAGAGGCAGGTGGATCTCTGTGTGTTCAAGGCTAGCTAGGGCTGTTACACAGAAAAACCCTGTCTCAAAAACAAACAAAAAAACTTTAGGGCCTACAAGATAGCTCTGTAGGTGGTGGTGGCACCTACTACAAAAGTCTGGCAACCTGCTGGGTGTTGGTGGCGCACGCCTTTAATCCCAGCACTCGGGAGGCAGAGGCAGGCGGTTCTTTGTGAGTTCTAGGCCAGCCTGGTCTCCAGAGCAAGTGCCAGGATAGGTTCCAAAGCTACACAGAGAAACCCTGTCTCGAAAAACCAAAAAAGAAAAAAAAAAAAAAAAAAAGTCTGGCAACCTGAGTTTGTTCCTGTGAACCTGTGTAAAAGTCAAAGGAGAGAACCAACTCCATAAGTTGTGCTCTGACCTCCACATGCAAACTTAACACACTCACTCCTGCCACACCTACACATAGAACACACACAATAATAAATGAAAATATTTTAATGATAAAAAATATACTTTATATCCATCATGGTGGTTCATGCTTGTAATCGCACTCTGGAGGAAGAAGCAGATGAATCTCTGTAAATTGAGGCCAGCCTGGTTCACACAGTGAATTCCAGGCCAGCCAGGCCCTATCCCCTAAACCAGAATAACTGACTGATAACAACAAAACACCTTTAGAAACTTCTGTTATAGTGTGGTGATATTTGTTTATGATCTAACAAATAAAGCTTGCTTGAAGATCAGAGTGCAGAGCTAGCCACACTAGTTAATCATAGAGGCTAGGCAGTGGTGGTACACACCTCCCAGGACTCAGGAGACAGAAGAAAATGGATCTTGTTAGTTCAAGGCCACCCTGGGGTACACGAAATTGATCCAGTCTAAAAGAGAAACAGAGCCAGATGGTGGTGGCTCACACCTTTAATCCCATTATTTGGGAGCCACACGCCTTTAACCCCAGCACTACGGAGGTAGAGGTAGGAAGGGATATGGCTGGGTGGAGAGATGAATATAAGGCAGGGCAGTAAGTCTGGGGATGCAGTCTGAAGACAGGATTGCCCCTCTGGTCTTAGCATTGGTAGAGGTAAGAACTCCAGTGGCTGGCCGCTCTGCTGCTATGATCCTTCACCCTTCACCCTGGTAGCTGAGAATTTTTACTACATTTATATGAATATATTTGCTAGGGCTTAAACCCAAAGCCTCAACATGCCAGGCAAGTGGTTATATCTCAGATGGAAGACAAGTTTTGAAGAAAGTATTGGAAAATGCCATGCTATTGTAGAGTTCTTCAAGAACTCTAACACTTCATATGCCAGCTTTCCAGGTACCATGGTAGCACACCGATGTCGCTGAAATGATTGACAAAGGGTACCCTGGCACTTATGTGAGCCACATGTGCCTATATACATGTTGTCAGGGTCCCAAGCAGAAACCTAGGTTAAGAAGAGCAATCCTAAGAACATTTAGGTTGCTAAGCCTTAGATGAGTCTTTTGGATGCTAAGATTCTGAAACCATCTTGCTCCATTGTCCCTCGGCTGCTGTGTTGTGATGCATGAATTATGTCACCACCTTGTCACTCAGAGTTTGAGCTCCATCAAAATACTAACTTCACTGGGCCTGTGTTCTAGATGAGGGCTTTTCTATTTGACTTCAGCTCTTTAGAAGGCAGAGCCGCTTTCCCCTCTGTATTGTTGGGTTCTTGGTGAGTTGACAGCCCTTGATACAGGTCCAAGCTCTGCCTCACTTCCGACCTTGGTCATTTTCATAGCGTGATTCACCCCTACCCATCCCCTCTTCTGCCAAATATCCATCCACATAGCCAGTCAGACCACACAAAGCATGACTAATGGAGTTTTAGCCAGCAGAGGTGCTTTTACACATTTGAACTGCTTTCCAGGACCCTCACAGAGTTGCTCTTTGACACAGACTCCACTCTTGTGCCGTTCAAGTGATTTATTGATGTCTCCGCTAACCTTGCTACCCTTTTCAGTATGTTTCAGCCATCAGGAGTTCTTAAACCCATTCCCCACCAGTGGAGCCACTGCTATTTCCTTGTGTCTGCCAAAATGTCCTTAGCCAGCCTCGTTTTTCTTTAGCTCCTCCACTTTGGCAATATAGATCCTCATAGCATCCATCTTGGACATCCCTTTGTTCACATTCCACGCTTCCCATTTGGCCTTTGCTCTCACATCTGTGGCTGGAGGGACGGGGATGTTACAGTCGCCCTGGGTGGCCTGTTTGTAGAAGCTGTACACCAGCAGTTTCTCCTGATCGCTCACAGGACCCTTCAGCTGCTTGAGAGAAGCGCAGGCCATTTCAAACTCCACTTGGCTCATTGTTGCACCAGAGGCTGTGTGTGCCTCTCTGTTCTAGTGATACCTGGTACTAGAAGAGAGTTGGGAATAAGCAAAGCAGACGATTATTAGGCCTTGGAAAGAAAGGACAAAGAGATAATGTGTGGGTATTATTAAAAGATTTATTTTTTGTGCGGGGAGGGGTGTGTGTGTGTGTGTGTGTGTGTGTGTGTGTGTGTGTGTGTGTGTTTGAAAAACTACAAGTTGCTGACCAGGAATCCATTCGATTGGCCCTGTCCCACAGTGCTTTGCCCAGTGTGACTGTCCTTCAAACTTACAAAGGCGCCTATGAGAGCTGAAAAGCATTTGGGCATTTCTGTGTGTCTCTGAGGCTGGACGGGGAGCCCCATGGATCCGCTGCTGGTTAGTGGGCAGCCTGGGAAAGGCCATTCCGTTGGAGGTGAATCGTGGGGGTTCCTGGGTGAGAGTGAGAAGTCTGGACTAAGGGATTGGACCTCCTGGCCTCAAGAGAACTGTAATTCCGCAAGGAGCCTGCCTACCTACCTGAGGGTAGACGGCCGGCTGGGAAGCCTAGGGCCGAGAGGGGGCGCTGTGGGCCTGGTCGGCCTCGACGCCGCGAGCTTGTCGAGGAGGACGGAAGACGCGTGCGCACGGAGCAGCAGCCGGGGAGCGGAGTACTGATCGGAAGCCCGTACGAGCTGTGGGCGGTACCTGTGACGCGCCTGTGGCGCCGCCCTTTGTGCCGTGGCGGGGGCACCGCGTTCGCGGCCTCGGAGTGGGAGGGGCGGTCCAGCCCGGCCGCCAGCTTCGCCGCCATGGACCTAGGTGGGTTCGCGTTTCCCTACTCCGGCCTGGTGTCGGGCCGCGTCCGGCAGAGCCCCTCCAGGGTGGGCCGAGGCCCTGTGCTCCTCCAGTGGCGCTCTCCGGAGCCGACTCTGGAGGCCGGGGGTCTGAGGAGTTTTTAGGGACCCGCGGCCGCGAGGCCGGCCTCCAGCCCGCAGCCCGGCCTCGTGTTGGTCTTCCTCGATCCCTCCTCCGCCTCGTGGTCTCTTTCCCATTAGAAAACAGAGAGCGAATGTAGCCCTGGACCCCCTGAAAGTGCACAGGGCTACTGCACGTGTTTCGGAAATGCCGGGCTGGGAGGAACGGACGTCCGGACCGTTCTTCCTTATTGGGTGACTGCCGAGTCGGGGAACAAGTTTCTTAGCAGCTCTCCTGGTCCACAAAGCAGAGATGCTGATACCGCTTTCCTCCCAGGCTTGGCGTTTCTTTGAGACCACGTGCATAACTGGGCGCCTTACGGTGACTTGTGCACAGTGGTGTCCCGCAGCCCTCGCTTTCGAGCAGGGTTTGCAGCAGCAGCAGACAGAGATGGTACTTTTTGAATCCTTTGATTTGGAGTCTCTTAGGCGAGGTCTGGAAGGAGAGCGGCGTTGATAGAAATCTGTGGCCATCTGCCAAGCCTCCCCACCCTGCTAGGTGTGCTCTTTAGAGGGTAAGACAGGGAGGCTGTCCCGGGAGGTACTCCAAGATTTGCAAATAATAAGCTATGGAGAAAGATCTTTGTCCCAGCCAGCTCTTTAGGTAGTTTCATGCCCCGAAGCTGTCAAGAGTTCTGCCATGGCTTGACTCCGCTGACTCAGACACCCTGCACAAATTGTATGTGGGCCTCGAGGTTTCCATCTCTAAAACAGGAGTGGTAATCCTCAAGAAGTTAGTTGGATGATCAAATGGTCTTTTAGGTGTAAAGCTGGGTGTGGAAGCTTATGTCTAACTAGCACTTTGGAGGCAGACACAGGAGGATCTCAAGAGTTCTAGGCCAACCTGCTCTATATAGTTTCAAGCCAGTCCTGGCTACATAACAAGATCCTATGTCACGGGTAAAAAAATGTATGTCACCAAGCCCCGTGCCTACCAGAGTAAGCAGTCACTTCCTAGCACCAGCTACTGATAAAGCCTTGCAGTTTCCCCTAGCTATTAACTGAGTCTGGGACTTTGTCAAGTCACATGTACACAGTGTCTGAAAATCTCATGTTTGTCGGCAGACATCTGCTCGGCTAAGCTGATAAATGCAGTTAAATTGAATTTACTGTTGCGAGGGAATGGTGTTGAGGGCAGGGCAACCTGAGCCAGAAAGAACCCTGCCACAGCAACCTAACTCTGGGCCTTCTGCTACTGTGGAAGCCAAGGTGCATTGCCTTCAGGCCTGGGTTTAGTAGGAGTGTTGATCCTTGACTTGTTTTTGGGTGTGTGAGTAAATGGTTAGTGGCCAAGAGATTCATTAGTTCCCTGGAGTCATCACTTTTTTTCCCCCTGGGGGTAGGGGAGGTTTGAGACAGGGTGTCACAATGTACTTTGGCTGGCCTCATAGAAATCTGCCTCCCTAGAGCTGGGATTAGAAGCATGGGCCACCACAACTGGCCACTGGAGTCAGTATTTTTGCAGCTGACTCTGGCCTATGAGAATGGGGAAAATATGTTCCTTGGAGCATGGGAAACTGGACATGAGGAAGGAAGGGTTAGGCATCTCTGGGCCCTGGGAATGGGTGGGCGCTGTCAGGAACAGTGACCGTGACCAGTTAGTTGTTACACTCTTTTTAAAAAATAACTTATAAAAACAATAATTTTATTTTATGGACATTGATGTGAGGGTTTCAGGTCCTTTGGAACTAGAGTTACAGAAATTGCAAGCTGTCATATGGGTGCTCGGAATCGAACCCAGGTCCTCTGGAAGAGCAGCCAGTGCTCTTGACTGCTGAGCCATCTCTTCAACTCCCAGTTGTTAGAATCTTTAGTTTCTAGGCCAAATTATACACTTTGATAAAGACCTGTGTCCTTTTGTTTTTGCACTGGAGGAGACAAAATAGTGAGAAGACTGGGCCTGCCAACAATTGAACATTTAAATCAGGCTCTTTGTGGTCTGATTATTGTTGCGATAGTAACCTTCCATTCTCCCACCCCTGAAAGATGTTTCGAGAAGGTAACAGTACCAAAATAGTTCCAAAAGTATGACTAGTATATGTTGTATGTCATGTGGTTTTCATGGTTATACCACTGAAGATTATAGTCTGTGTATGCAGACAGACTCAGTAATGTGTAAAGTCACATTTTTGAATGACTGAGCTAGGATTTAAATCCATTATTTGATTAAACTCCCATATTGCCTTTCTTTAAATGTCTTTATCAGTTCTTAGCTCAGTGAATGAATGTTTTCTTGGTTCCTGCCACAGAGCCAGAATGTTCAGTAGTGTCCTTTTTGACTAGAAGAAACTGCTGGGTGAACTTTTTCCCTGTAAGGCCCAGAATGTTGAAACCCATTAGCAGCAGTGTGTTTAGGAAGAAGGAAGGCAGGGCTGGGAATACAGCTCAGTGGTAGAGTGCTTGCCTGGTATATGCAAGGCTTTGGGCTCAAAAACAAAAGCTCAGCTGGGTGTGGTGCATGCCTTTAATCCTAGCACTCAGGAAGCAGAGGCTGGCAGTTCTCTGTGAGTTCAAAGCTAGCTAAAATAAAACAATTACCCTCCCCCCCCCCCAAAAAAAAAAAAATTCCCCCCCCCCCCCCCCAAAAAAAAAATAAAGGCTGCTCATCACCCAGTGTTGGGCTCTCCGTCTGTGTCTTCAGAAGACTGCTTGTAGGAGTTGGTTCTCTCTTGCTGTATTAGGCTAGGGATCAAACTCAGGTCATTAGGTCACTGAGCCATGTCACTGGCCTTTGTCATGTCTTCTAATGCATACTTGGTGGCACTGTCCCCCCAGTCCTGTCCCCACTGTAATCTCAGCAGTCCAGCTTTCCTCCTCACACTTTGCAGAGGGATCTTAGTCTCTTCCTTGGTTTCTATAAACTTCTCTGTGTTGGCACTGCCTATACTTAAATCAGGCCTTTTCTCCTTAACTCATTGCCATTGCTGAAAGACATCACTAAATAGTCAGCCTCAGACTCCAGGTAACCAAAACTGAACTTGTCTTCCTCCCTTTAAGCCTGTCCTTGGGAGCTGGAGAGAGCTCAGTAGTTAAGAACACATAAGATTGTTGTAGAGGACTGGAGTTTAGTTCCCAGCAGCCATACCAGGTGGCTCTTAATCACCTGTAACTCCAACTCCTGAGGGCCCAGATAATTAAAGTAAATATAAAATACTTAAAAAGAAACTTAGTAATCTATTCTGAATCCCTCTCTCCCTGTCCCTGTGGTACTATTCTTCTGATTTCCAGGCTAGAGATCTTAGAAACTGGATTTTATTCTTCAGCCAAGTCCTTAGGACCCTCTCCCTTCGGGAGCTCTTACTAACCGTGCCTTCTTCCTCTCCTGTTGATGTCAAGGTATTATTAACCTTGATAATGATAGCCAACCAGTGACTCTGTTTCTTTCTCTTAGCCTCTGCTTACCATTCTGAAAACTTCATTAACTCTTGACTTCTCTGTGCAGGACCCTTAAATATCTGTGAGGAAATGACTATACTGCATGGGGGCTTTTTGATGGCTGAGCAGCTGTTCCACCCCAAAGCCCTGGAACAGTTGACAAAGTCTGACTGGGAACATGTGGGGCGGCCTATTGTGGACGCCTTGAAGGAGATCTCCTCAGCCACAGCACATTCCCAGCCATTTGCCTGGAAGAAGAAAGCACTGATCATCATCTGGGCGAAGGTTCTTCAGCCCTCTCCTGTCAGCCCTTCTGATACTGATACTCGGTGGCAGGAAGATGTGTTCTTCTCCGTGGGCAACATGATCCCTACCATCAACCACACAGTCCTTTTTGAGCTGCTTAAGTCTCTGGAAGCTTCTGGACTCTTCATTCAGCTCCTAATGGCCCTTCCTACCACCATCTGCCGCTCAGAGTTACAGAACTTTCTGGAACACATGACCATTGACACTTCTTCCAAGGATGTATCCTTCTTCCTGGATGTCTGGTGGGAAATGATAAAGCACAAGGGTGACCAGCAGGACCCCTTGCTTTCCCAATTCAGGACAATGGCCCATAAATACTTGCCATCTTCAGATGAGTTTTCCCATCCTCCAAAGAGGTTTAAGTCTGACCCAGATGTGGGTCCTACCATGCCACTGTTGGCCATGCTGCTTAATGGGCTGAAGCAAATCCAAAAGAGAATCCTGTGCCGCGGGATGAAGTGTTGTGCATTAGCTAACTTGGCTGACATGCTGAGTGTGTTTGCACTGATGGAGGATGACCCCCAGGAGGTATCTGCCACCATGTACCTAGACAAACTAGCCACAGTGATCTCTGTATGGAATTCGGACACCCGGAACCCATACCATCAACAGGCCCTGGCTGAAAAAGTAAAGGAGGCAGAGCGGGATGTGAGCCTCACCTCACTAGCCAAACTCCCCAGTGAGACTGTTTTCATGGGGTTTGAGCTTATGCACAACCTGCTGCAGGAGTGGGGTGCAGAACTGCAGGACATGCTAAACAGCAGTCAGGGGACAAATTATGACACCTACCGGCTGTGTGACAGTCTGACTTCCTTCAGCCAGAACTTGAAGCTCTACCTGGAAACTGCCAGCATGTCCAAGGAGGAGAGGCAGGTGGTCTGTGAACTGGCTGAGTGTGTTAGGGACTTCCTAAGAAAAACCAGCAGAGTGCTTAATGACAGGGGCCTTGAGGACATCACTGCCTCCATTGCCATGGCCATCATTGAGCAGAAGATGGACCGGTATATGGAAATGTGCTACATTTTTGCTTCTGAGAAGAAGTGGGCCTTTTCAGATGAGTGGGTTGCCTGCCTTGTTAACAACAGGTCTCTCTTCAGAGAACCAGACTTGATCTTGAGTTTGCTGGAAACGGTGATGGAAGTCATCAACTCTAACAGGGCTATCCCCCAGCCTCATATCAAGCAGGTGATCTGCTTGACCTTGGAATGCTATGCAGACCTCTCCCTACCAGACAAAAATAAAGTCCTTTCTGGAGTCCTGCATTGTTGGGGGCCAAAGGGCCTCTCGGACAGGTTGTCTGTTTACTTGGAGGGTTTTCAGGAAGACCTCAACACAACGTTTAACCAGCTTGCACAGAGCACCTCTGAACAGGGTCTGGCTAAAGCAGTGACCTCTGTGGCCCGCCTGGTGATCCTGTACCCAGAAGTTGTGGTGAAGAAGATGTGCAGCATAGCTGTGACCAATCTTGGCACTCACAGGTTCCTGGCTCAGATTCTTACTGCCTTCCCTGCCCTGAAGTTCACAGAAACACAAGGGCCAAAGCCATATACCAGTTTCATGGTGTCCTGCCTCAAAGAAACTGTCTGGACAAAGTTCTCTACACCCAAAGAAGAGAAGCAGTTTCTGGAGCTGGTGAGCTGCCTAATGAACCCCGTGAAACCACAGGGGATTCCAGTTGCTGCTCTTTTGGAGCCTGATGAGGTACTGAAGGAGTTTGTCTTGCCATTCTTGATGCTAGACATGGAGGAGGTGGGCCTGAGTCTGAAGCTCTTCCTCCAGACCCTTGAAGCCAATGCGGGCTTGGAGGAGTATTGGCTGCAAACCTGCTCCCCATTCCCGCTGCTCTTCAGCTTGTGCCGGCTCCTGGACAGCTTCAGCAAGTTCTGGCAGCTCCCCCGGGAGAAGCGCTGTCTCACTCTGGACAGCAAGGATCTTGTGACCCACATCCTGGAGCTCCTCTGTGAGATCGTGCTGGCTAATGCAGAGACCTTCTCCCCAGACACCTGGGCCAAGTCCCTGTCCTGGCTCCACCGCAAGTTAGACCAGCTAGACTGGACTGTGGGCCTGAGACTGAAGAACTTCTTTGAAGGACACTTCAAGTGTGAGGTGCCGGCTACCCTTTTTGAGATATGTAAGCTCTCTGAGGCCCAGTGGACCTCACAGGCCCATGAAGGGTATGGGCCTGGCACAGGGCTTCTCGCCTGGATGGAGTGCTGCTCCATTTCCCGCAGTGTCTCTGAAGAGATGCTTTCCCTCTTGGTGGTGGATGTGGGCAATCCTGAGGAAGTCAGATTGTTTAGCAAGGGCTTTCTGGTGGCCCTGGTACAAGTCATGCCTTGGTGTAGTCCTCAGGAATGGCAGTACCTTCAACAGCTGACCAGGAAGCTGTTGGAGAAACAGCTCCTTCATGTCCCTTATAGCCTAGAGTATATTCAGTTTGTTCCCTTGCTCAACCTGAGGCCCTTTGCCCAGGAGCTCCAACTCTCTGTTCTTTCCTTGAGAGCTTTCCAGTTTCTCTGCAGCCAGAGCTGTTGTAACTGGCTTCCTATGGATGGTTGGAGCCATGTGGTCAAACTCCTCTGTAGCAGTTTGACCAGTATCCTGGATGCAGTCAGGTTGATACAGTCGGTGGGCCCCTGGGCCCAGGGACAAGAAGGAAACCTGACTCAGGAAACCTTGTTTGTGTATACCCAGATGTTCTGTCATGTTCTGCATATCATGGCCATGCTCCCCCAGGAGGTCTGCGAGCCCCTGTATGTGCTGGCCTTGGAAATCCTTACCTACTATGAAACCCTAATCAAGACCAACCCTTCTGTCAGCTCCTTGCTCCAGAAGGTTGATGAGCAGCGCTTTCTAAAGTCTATTGCTAAGAATCTTAGCCCTGAGGAGAGGCGCCAAACCCTGCTACAGAAGATCAACAACTTCTGACGTGTGGAGGACTGGAAAAAAGCTATCCCTCCAACATGGTGTTTGTTCTTCAGAGCCTAGAGCTGAGAACAAACCCTACAGTTATGGGAGATTGTATACATGACGAAAGGAGTACATTACAAGAGCACTGTAAAGAAAATAGTTTCTTAGGTATTTGTCACATACTACTACAATAAAACTCTTTTGGGTTTCATCTTGTCTTCAGCCTTTCTCAGAAGTTTGGGCTTAAATATGCTCCAAAGTTAGGTTTAGATAATCTTTAGGATCAAGTCAAGCCAGTGCGGCAGGTGTGGGAGTGCACACCTATGACATCAGCCTTTACATGGCTGAGGGTGGCAGCCTGGGCTACATAGTAAGATCCGAAAGTTTAAAAAAAAGAACAAGTCCAGCTGGGGAGGAACATGTTTGTAACTGAAATTCTCCACCCACATTTGGCAGTAAGCCCAAAGGTGGAGCTACCTAGTAGCAAAAAAATACAAGGTTGTATGTTCTTTTTACTGAGGCCTCTCAGAGTCTTTTCAGCCAGGCTTGGTAACAATACATACCTATAATCTCAGCATTTGGGTGGCTGAAGTAGAAGGGTCATAAGTTCAAGGCCAGCTTGGGCTGCTAGCAAGCATTTTTAGTATTTCATCCTTTTTCCAAGGTTATCTCAAAAAAGGGCACATGTGGAAAGGGGCTCATCTGGCACTGATTGTGACTTGTGTGCCAGAGAGGCCTGCACCTTTGTCAGAGGGTTGAACAAAGAAACAGCATACCCAGGAGGGACTGTGCTAAGCCAGCGCTGGTGAACAGCGGATCCCTGGAGGAGGGATGTAATTACCTCTGCCTGGAGTGGCATCTTGGTTTTGATGAATGAGTGGCAGAGGTAACGATGCATGCAGAAGCATAAAAATGAGAGTGTAAGGTTTCTAGGGTAATATTACACAACTCTTAAGAACTGGTTAGGGAGGTGTCATTTAGGGGGATGAGAGAAAAGGTCCCATCACCTCATTTCAAGTGGTTTACTGCTTTTCTCCCACCTAAAGTAAACTATTCTGTGGTCAACAGGCAGGCTTCCGCCCTCCCAACTTGTAATTGGGATTCACCAGAGGAAGACAGACCTGAAGTTATACGTGAACACTGAGCTTGAGCTCTGGGCACCTTCTGTGAATCCTTTGGTACCTTGAACCAACATGTTGGACTAAGTAAGGTATGAGTAAGACCTGCCTGGAACTCAGTCACATTCCATGATCAGACTAGGAACTACCCCATACAGCAGTCGGTCGAGCTGAGTCTCAGGATGTTGGAGGAAGTCAGTGCCAATGCACTTAGCAAACAATACAGAATTTAGTGCAATTTAATCACCATATGGATGACTTATGGATACATGGACAGTAAACAAAACACAAAATAGCATTTTTGTTTTTTAAAGTGGCACCTATTAAAGAGTGAAACTCAAAACTTGGAGCCATAATTCTCCAGTCCTTTAAAAGTCCATGGACAGTGAATTACAAGGCACTTGTAGTGTTTTTGCTGCCACCTGAAAGAAGTGCCAGCAGGTCCTCTCAAACCCAGCCTGTTGTGAGGGAGATCAGTGCTATACCACATCCTACTGCACACAGCTACTACACTGGTCCACAGGACATGCTCTGGCCAGCTTGGCTGCCCTCATGTTCTCTAGTCTTCTATGGCTAAATGGCTGCACATTCAACACAGAAATGAATCTTTTCAGGAAGCGCTAGAAACAATGGCCTGGTTGAGACCTCAAGGGTTGGAGCGCAGACATCTGTATCCATTTTGAATGAAAAGGGCAGTGTCAGAGTAGGATGACCCAGGAAACCACTATAGAAGCTATCACTCCACTTTGTCCCTGGAGTTTTAGGCCAGCTTTCTATGTGGACACAGAAAACTGGGTATGAGAGGCTATATTAAAAAGGGAATAGTGTTGGTGACTGCTTGCAACAAGCTCACATTTGTGCTGTTGGTCTTTATATCAAGTCGGCCTGCAGAGGTGCTGGCCTCCTGACCTACTCAAGTGCTTCAGGTTCTCAGCCCTGCCTCTTGCCCATTGTCAGTGAGCCCTTCTGACTAGAAGTCAGTAGGATGAGAATTCATTGTTGATATACAGATGAGAGGACCAGCGGCTGTCTAGTAAACAATGAAAGACTACACACCCACCATGGTTTTCTTAGTGTTGGAAAAATGACACTACTTCAAGAACCAAGCTGTCACTTGCTTCTGGCCCAGTATTTGGATGTTGCCCTGAGTGGGGATAGCAGTGCTTCACCTCCCAGAGCTCTTGTCATGGGTAGGCCCAAGGAAGGCTCCTCAGGCTTGCATTAAAGCTACTTTGCTGCAGTGGAGGTTTGAGAGGATCCAAGTTATTTCCAGGGAGAAAAAGTGCTTTTGTAAAAGGAGCAGGTTAGAAGGGGGAGGTAATGGGGACTCTTAAAAAGAAAACCTCAAATCCAGAGGCTTATCAATATCCAGAAGGCAGAAGTGACCCAGGCACAATTTGGTCCTTGGAATACTGAGTAGAGGAGGCAGCTAGTGTGAGTGCCTGACTCCTGAGAGTAATTAACCATCCTTTTTGGCTTTGGCAGTGTCAAAGAGCCGGGCTGCCTTCTTGCACAGCAATGAGAACCAGTAGAGCTGGGGAGAGATGAGGATGGCATTGGCCACATTGCAGTGTAAAGGGATATTAAATGGCACTCGGAGCAGGCTTAGTCCTTTGTGTTGACCATAGGACCAGTACATGAAGGGAAAAAGAAGGATCCGGCAAAACAGAAAGGTGGACAGTGTGAGGATTCCATTGACCTTATAAAGGAGGGTATGCTGCTGCTTTAGCTGCAAGAGAAAAGGAAGGAGAATGCCAGGTCACCAAGAGGACGGGTCATCAGGCACAGAACCCAGGCTCACTACGGTCAATCAGGTTCTTGTACGAGTCAAGGCCTATAGTGCTAAATTGCTTGGCACTTGGACACGGACACACACACACACACACACACACACACACACACACACACACACACACACACACACAAAGCAGGTGTACGGGCCGATGCATGTGATCATGGAGGCCAGAAGATGTTAGGTGCCATCCTCTTGGGAACTCTGGGGACAGGGTCTCTCACTGAACCCAGAGCTCACCTTTACAGATAGATAGGCTGCACACTCAGCTGTGCCTAGCTTTTTACAAGACCTAGCTGTCACTTGCTTCTGGCCCAGTATTATGGATATTACCCTGAGTGAGCGAAGAGAGATAACACTGCTTTGTGCCCACTCAGCCACCATATACAGCCTCATGATTTTACCAAAAGCGATGCTGAATTTGACCTAAACCACCCCCCTTATCCTTATAAGTGTATAAGAACAATTAATTAGATTGTTGCCAGGAAAATAATGCAACAATTTGGGTGTATGCTTCCCGTGTGTAACTTGGGTCAGATCAAAAGTCTAATCCACCTGGTTTGGATGATGACATTAACATGTCAAAAGGTCTCCCTTCCTAGCAGTAAGATCTCTTCAAACCCCAGTCTCCAAAGGCAGCGTAGGATCTATTCCCTCCTTCTCACATCTGCTGTTTCACTTATACACACCTGAATCAGAACTCTGCCCAGTGACACAAACGGAGTACTCAGTTCTGCTGTGAAGATGCAGCCAACAAAGAAGTCGCCAAGTTCTCCCCGGAGCTTCTGCAGAGAGAAGAAAAGGGACTGAGATGTGGAGGCTAGAAAGCACCGGAAGGAAAATCCTAACTAGGGCTATAGGGAAAAGGTAACCACGAGACCCTGAAAGGAGGAAAATGTTAGCAGACATGTGGTTGTTCAGTTGAAACCTTGCTGCTTCCCTGGCATTTACTTTTGGAGGATCCAAAGACAAATGGAGATGGGCTCAGTGAGTCCTACATGAGGCTCCATCTGATTTTAGTGACAACAGGGAGGAACTCTGTAGCCTGCTTCTGTGTGTCAGAGGCAAAGTCCTTACCAAATGAAGTACCTTCTTTTTTTTTTCTTCCTAAAATAACAGCCTGCCCTGTAGAACAACCTGCTCAGTAACACTGAAATAAGAAAGCTTGGGGCAAAAGAAAGCTGGTAAAGGCAATGGCCTAGAGGCCTGATGACCTAAGTTTGACGCCCCCATACCACCTATAGGGACCCTTAACCTCCTTGCCTGTATATACACATATACACAAATTAAACAAGAAAATAGGATGCTGGATGTGGTAGTGCATGCTTCTAATCTCAGCATTCAGAGATAGGGAGATTGAGAATAGCCTGGTCTCCATAGTGAGACCCTGTCTCACAAACTAAACAAATAGGGCTGGAAGGATGGCTCAGTGGTTAAGAGCACTTGCTACTCTTCCAGAGGATGCGTTTTGTTCCTAGCATCCATGTTAGTCATTTTAGAACTACCTGAATCTCTAGCTCCAAGTGACCTGATGCCACTTCTGACCTCCACATCCACTTAAATAAGATAATCTCTAAAATGAAGAAATAATGTTGAAGCCTATTGGAGGTGCAGGCCTATAATTCCAGCTACATGGGAAGCTGAGGTAGGAGGACTATAAAAGTTCAAGGCCAACCTGAGCAATGTAGACTATTCCAGAAAATGAAGCTGGGGTACAGTTGAGTGGTAGGCCGCTTTCCTAGCATGAGTGAGGTGCTAGTTTAATTTCTGGTACTGAAAAAATAAAAATAAAAAACAAGACTGGGAACATAGCTCAGGGAATAAGAGCACTGGCTGCTCTTCCAGAGGACCCAGGTTCAATTCCCATCACCCACATGGTGTCTCAAACCATCAATAACTCCAGTTCCAAGGAATAGTTGGCTCCTGCAGCCTCCAGGCAAGCAAATCATACACAGACGTACATGCAGGCAAAAACACCCATACACATAGAATAGAAACAAATCTTTTAAAAAGTAACAATGCTGGCCAGGAGTCACAGATGTTTCAGGTGGCATTGTTTTCCTCCACTGCTTCCATCAAAGACTGAACCCAATGAAGTAGTTAGCAGGAGGGCGTGCATAGTACAGAAGAGAAGAAAGAGGGCTCTCCAACTCTTAAGGAATGAAACAAGGGACCCAGTTCAGTGACGGGAATGGTTGACTGAGGTTGCTGTCCTGAGAGGCCATACCTGTGAAACAGGTACAAGGACAAACAGGATGACTGCATGATGCGTGACCATTAGGCGGTTTTCAATCAGGAAGT